GATCGTTGTGTTCACTCCCAGGGGAACTACTTCGAGGGTGATGGATGAATTTAATACCTGAGATAAGTGTACGGGTTTTTATAGGCGCAGTCTAGAAACTTTCGATCGCACCTCGTACTTTACCATACGTATATTTGGTACCCTGCTACCACCAACGTGTCTCATTCACTATTGCCAGAGTTAGAACATTAAATTCGTAATTATTAATTTCTCTGTTTTAGTTAACTACAGGTCCACATTCATCGTGAACCACTATTCCTGACTGTAATATGGCATAGAATTCTAAGTATGAGTTATGGATTACATTTAGTTATAAACATTTGGACGTATTACAAATTGGAACGAAGGAACATTTAATTGGAAAGAAATAGTCCGAATTTCTTCCCGGAAACTTCATTTAAATTCATTTGTTTCTGGAAATTAAACACCAAAATTCTTGTAATAATGTAGACAGAGTTTTGAAAAATGTGTTTGTCTGATCCCGCAGGTAGCAGCAGCAGCTTACCTGTTTTGTGGAAGATTTCGCATGGCTTCTGGACGCGGTCTTCCTGCAACAGAATAAAAGGTAAGCCGAGTATGTAGCACGCATGCATTGCTTTCAGGATGAGACAAGTTATTCGTTCCCGTATTTCCATGAATTACAAAGTATCATAATTTATCTGTGTTGTTGTTCTGGGGGGTGTAACTCCGATATCTACCTATGTTAGATATCGACGTTTCGGAGAATAACACCGCCTTCATCCTCAGCCCTGAAAATTCAAGGCGTCGATTTTTATCTACTGGGGTGTAACTCCGTGGGTACACATAGGTAGATATCGACGTTTCGGAGAATAACACCGCCTTCATCCTGCTTTCGTAAGCACGAAATGTTGCATATGAGGTCTTCCGTACTTTTCTACTTTATAACTACGTTCTTATCAAGGTATATGGTATTTATAATGCCACTTTGTTTACGCGTGGTTCAGTGTTCAGCTCAAAATCGTTACATTACTCCAAGAACTTGTCAGGAGTTTTAAAGAAATCGAGTTTGACGACTGACCTAAATTTTGTGAACTGAAGCTTTCTATGGCGATAAGCTACGTGGAATGAACACTGCGTACCAGAGCTGCTGATGGTCTGAGAATGTTTTGCCCCTTTTAGTTACCATGAAAAATTTATATATTATAAAATTCTGCAATTATTTCTAAACATCATGTCCACACAAAGTTTGCCATCTTTATATTATTTCTTTGTGGTTTTGTTCGGTATCCAAATAAAACCTGATAATTAATGCTATCAAATGGGCAGTGACAGCCTTTTAAACCCTTAAATACTTATAATTAAATTATCTTCCCATTTCGAAGTTTTATATAATGTAGGCCGATTGAAACAGTATCATTAAATAACATTAGAATCTGTCGACGTAATTAATTATAAGGGGCGTATGTTGGTATTGGTATTTATGATGTAATATTAATATTGGCAGCGCGCTTTGTGTTCGTAGCTTCCCGAGTTTGAGACGCAGTTGTAACTGTCGATAAAATATTAGTCAGCTTTGCTCTTTTAAAGAAGTTGTAGAGCTTTGCAGCTCCTTATACGTTTTCTTTGCTGGCATTATCTTCCATCCTCATCAAGTCAATTTCAGACCTCCCTGTGCGGGCTTCATTACGTACACGTGCCTCCTCCTTCAACGTTAAGAAATGGTGCAGAAGCCTCAACATTTACTTCCAAAGGCAGAAATTTGTGCTACATTCTTAAAATAATATGGTTCGGCAACTGAAATAATTTTACGATGGTATACATGGATAGACGAATCTACGGACAAACGAATAGATGGATAGATGATGAAGAGGCAGGCATATGGATAGGTAATCAGAGATAATGCTACATTTTCTTTACCAGTTATCCTGGAGAAATTCTAGCGTGCTCATTGTGTGGTCTTGAGCAGTGGTATTCAAGATTTTTTGTTTGCGTACCCCCCAGATATAATTTCTCTTCAATTTTGTACCCCCAAAGTTGTTGGTGTATAATTCAAGTTATACATAGTATATAATCTACATCTAAAATAAATTAAATAAATTGCATTACTGATTATTCAGTGTTTATCATAAAATAATATATATTTTTTTAAAATTTCATGTACCCCCTAAGATGTCTTCGCGAACCCCCGGGGGTACGCGTATCCCAGGTTGAATACCACTGGTCTTGAGAATGTCCTGGAGAATTTTTTATGAGTCCTAGAGTAGTGCCGGGGAAGTCCTGGTGAGTTTACCGCAGAGTTTTTTTAGTCATGGACAATTCCTGGAGAAGTGCTGGAAAAGTCCTGGAGAATTTTTTATAAGTCTTACAGTAGTGCCGTAGGAGTCCTAGAGAGGTAATGCGGAACATCTTTGGTGCTGGAGAATTCCTGGAGTTTGTATGTCTCTTATCCAGTGGGCGAGACCTGTGAATTCAACGCACTTTACATGTGTCATTTTTCGTTGAATGTATTCTGTTCAGAAGACAACGTTTGGTTATAAGCTTCACACTGTGAATACCAGATCTGTGTATCGATATATATGCCTGTGTACTGACCCATTGGAACGATTGTGCAGGAAGAATTTGTTAAAATGCGTTCATAGAAAATACAATTCACGGTATCGCTTTCATTTTGATAGACCTACATGTAAAAATAATTGGAAATACGTTATTGTCGAATTGTGATATGTAAATATCATGTTGTTTTGTTGAAGCATTTGAAAAGTCACAACACATTTTATCGCATATCCTAAAATAACGTTTTGTACGTTTTATGAGAGATGCATACAGATATTTTAATTAGCATAACTTTACAAAAACATGGCTTTGGGGAAATGTTGGTAACCACATATGAGACTACACAGGGACATGATTCAGGAGACCATAACCCTCGTTTTCTTCGCCGCAGAAACCTTGGCTTTCAGATAGGTGATTCATTAAGTAAACAATAAAGGTTCCCGATGATGATATTAACCACTCTGTTCACCGGTGATACTGTGTCCTCTGCAAACAACGCAATCACCCGCATATTTACTGTACATTAAGCCCAGCTGTGGGTATCTCGATACAATTTTACACATGATTTTCTTTAAATTCATAAAATGAGAAAAATTGATAAATCAGTGTAATTACTAAATACAGGCTTATATATTTTATTCCCTAAGATGGTAAAGTTGCGTCATATTGTGATATAATAAGTATATATTAAATCTTGTCCGTCTAATCACAATAATTCTTATTAAATATTAAAATATTACAATAATTAAAGCATAATGTATGAAAATTGTATTTGAATTATTTATCGTTTTGAAGCTTTATATAATTATATACACCTGAGGATGGTTCTTTTAGGAACTGAAACATGTCGTGAAACATGAAAAATGATGGTCTAATGTAAATCGAATATTTCGATATAGAACATCATTTAATATTTTAAATTTTTTAAATGTTAATTATTGTAATATTTTAATATTTAATAAGATTTATTTTGATTAGACGGACAAGATTTAATATATATTTTATTCCCTGTTTAAGACTATAGCCACGGTGGTCTAGCGGTTAGAACGCTGGCCTTGTAATCCTGGGGGTCTCGGGTTCGATTCCCGGCGGTGCCCGAATTTATAACTTGTGTTGGACAAGGCCGTGGGCTAGGCAACACGGAGTTTTCCTCCGGGGGCTTCCCCGGTTTCTCCGTGGCATCCCTTTCACACACACAGAAGAAGGCAATGGCAAACCACTTCTGGGTCATCTGCCAAGAACGTATATGAACAGGTCCCAGTCCGAGAAAAGGATGGAAGGATCCTGTTCATATGGACCTGTCGTCAGACAGAACACTAAATAAATAAATAAAATAAAAGTTTAAGACTGGAGTTCCCCACTGCGGTGAAGATGTCGAGGTTGGTCTTTCTGGCTGTAATACCGTGTGTAATTGTAAACGTTTCGGAAGAACATGTTGTCTCCTTCAGGGCACAAGTCTACATGGTGTTATGAACCTGTTGTTTACTTGTCTATTCTGTTTACAGTTTATAGTATCTGTCTCAGACATGAATATTAAGGCTTCTGCTTATAGACTGAAGTATTGTTATTTGGTTTTAGTGATGCATTAGTAAAACAAATGAAAGAACCATCAGATTACTGGCTGCTTTCCATCAAAGAAGCCTACATATCTATAAATAACCAAATCCAAGGCAGAAGACTTACTTAGAGCAGTATTTAAGTTGTCGAAGAAATTGTCTGTCTTTATGGGAACCTAAGATGTGTCAATGTTGTCATAAAATATTATGTTATGGGTTTCTGTGCCATGCAGACTCGTCGGAGAAAAATACTTTCTCCATCTTCAGTGATGAAGATACAGCTGTGAAGATGGAAATGCTACTTTAGGATTGATTGTTTTAATAAAAATATTTAGAAACCAAGTCTCCATCCTCAAATAAAACACAACTTTTCTTCGTGCTAAGAATCATACAAAACCCATAAATACACCGTGTGGAAAAATTCAGACTTACTGAATGTTAAAGCGGGTGGTATATATACAGTTAGCACTGGGCTTTAATGAGAATTGTTAATTTAATCACCGTAACAATACTAGATGAAGGACGTATAATGTGAAACTCCTTTTTGCGAGCAATTTAACCAAGCCCATTTGTTGAGAGAATGTCGCTAATATGGTTTTACTCTTGAACAGTATTTTTTTTTATGAAATGCGTTGTTCGTCTTTGCAAGGGGAGTGCTTGTTTGCACATTTCTCAGCCGACCCTTCTATTTATGAAGTCAACATCTGCAATGTGACGAAGGTTTGGTTTAGATAAAAAAAAAATATGAGCGAGATTTAGATAAGCTTCCTTCCACTCTGTTACGAAAATATTGAAAATTCCATGTACGACACCTTCGCTCGATTAATACAGTGTGTACCAAATTTGACGCAAACAGAAAGTTGACTAGTGTTTGTTATACATGTTGGGTTTTAATTGCGTATTGAAGTTATAATTATACAATTACAACATACGTTGTAAACAGAGACAGGTTGAAAGCGTTTTCATCAATTTATACTTTCAAATTATCAGACATGGCGGGTGTTTAAATTAAACAACTGTTTGAATTATTCATCTTCAGCGCCATGTCTGTGTTGTACAGTCCGGACTTGTCCCACGTAATTTTCAATTTATTAACCACTTAAACTCCAGTAGCTTTCATCTGATTTAACAACAAATAACTCCATTTTCAGCGCGGATGTCACAGAAGACAGTGGACAGACATTTCTTAACGTCGTTCAAGGCCTAATTTTGGTTTGTTCTTAATAGAGGAAATTATCGTAATCTCTGAAAGTGTTACATTTTGAGATTAATTGCCTGACGTCTACGTATCATTTGACAGAAATTTTCCGAGAATGAAGTAACTGAGATAATTGATGTAGCACCTGGTAAAACTTTTCCCAATAATTTTGCACTCACATAATTCGAACTTCTTTGCCCTCAGTCCTTTGTATAACTACACCAGTATATTCTTACGAACATTTCGGAGTCGCATGATGCCTCTCTCTTGAATGTGTCCAGATGATAGAGGCAGCAT